TTTACCTCGTTAGTATTCTGAGGGCTTGTGAAAGAATTATGATAGTTCAGAAAACAAAAAACAGGTCTGGCAGTCCCTGGGGGATACAGGGCAGAATAGGCCACCATCTAAGACCCAGAAGGGCTGAGCTGTCCTCCACAGGCTAGGTGATTGTAGGCAATCTGCTTTGTTTTAGGAAGATTGCTTCCTTTCTGACTCTTCCTCTGCCTTTTCTTCTTTGGGGAAGGAAAAGTTCCTCTGCATTCAAACACTCCTCAGCAAGATTGGTTCAGTTGTAATGCAAATCAACAGCAGCAGAATGAAACAGTAATTGTAACAGAAAAAACCACATTAAAACACCAGATTCAACATGCCCAGGTGTATGTTGAAGTTAGTAAGTGCTGTATGCAACACTACAGAAATAAAACTGCATTTCTATACACCCTTGAGAGACAGAGAATGCTCAGCACAGCACAAAGGCCCACTGTAGTAATTCCAACTGAATTCAGGCTTATTTTCCACTAGAGTAACAGAGAGGGGCTACAGCCTCAAATACAGATGCCTTAGTTACCCTCACCCAGAGGCAGAATGTATCCAGCTCTTCTTGACTAGAAATCTCAAGGTGTTTCTTCCCTCCTTGAATGAATTTCCATAAGAACATACACCCACACCTCCAAGTCATGTGTGAGGGTGTGTTTGGGCAGCCCTTGCAGAAAAGAAATTGTATCAAACACATTGAAATATCAATGCACACAGCACCTTTTTCTGTTTGTTTTTGAATCTTCCTGATTTGCATGTATCTGTCATACACTGGCTGAGAAGGATCTAATTTACCTACTGAGAATTCACTTCTAGGCTTGTGCTAACCTTGCAAAATTTGATTCTTAATCTGTTTCTCAAGTAGTCAACACTACGGATGTTCATCAAGTAGTCATTAGTCTATCCATCCACACTTTAAGCTCACCACGGTTGTCACTCTTGCTCCCACTCTGAAATATCTTGATACGTGACCACAGTTTACTGCTTTACTGGACATCAAGCTCCACATAAAATTGCTCTGCTTATCTCAGAGCTAGAAGGTTAAACATTCAGTTCCTAAGCAAGACAGCATGCAACAAAGTGAGACACAAGGAGATGCTTGTATATCTGTAAAGCAGAAGGGAAGAACCTCCTTAGACGCAGCTGCTCTCTAACAACCATGCTTTATGCAGAACGCTTGGGGGCTACTCTATTTTTATAGCTTTCACCCATAAAATAAGAAGCTAAAGCTTCTGGAAGGAGAACACAATTACCCTACAATGATATAACATCAGAATAAATTCACCACAGTCTGTATAAGCAAAGAGAAAAAGCACCCAAGCTTTTTCCAATTGGCAGTAGATAATACTTAATAACTGCCCTGTCGTCAACCTTCAGAAGTGATCTCCAGAGCCATATGTGGGTTGGCAACCAGGCATAGAGCCTAACTAGTTTCTGCATTTAGTTGTACAGAAGTAGAGACATATGGAAATGAACAGCCTGGCAGAACAAGTGAACTCTGAAGCAATGGCTTTGATAAATAAATGCCTGCACATTGGCAGATGGGGAAAAGCGCAGTTAGAGAGGAACTGCAGCAGCAACTTGGCTTTGAACAATTGGTTAAAATCAGCCTGAACTCCAGATTCAAGGCATTTCCAGTTCCTTCAGTCCCCTTCTAATTGTGGAAAATTCTCATCATAAAAACAGGAAAGGTGGAGGTAGAAAGATGTATCTAACAAAAGATACCAGAAGCTGCTTCAGGAAGCAGAGAACAGGACTGGGAAATCACTGATCATTTTTGCCTCTTATTACTTTGCTAATCATTTTTTTGGTACATTTCAGAAAGACACAACCAAAGACATTCCCCACAGTCCAGAAAAGCAACATGTAGAGAGACACTCTCAAGCCATATAGCAGCGCCTGAAACATGGACACAGTGGATACAGGTACATGGGATACACAGTGAATGGGAACTTGTGCTTGATGCAGCAGTTGCCTCCTGCACTCATCCCTCTGGAGACCAGTCTATTTCTAGGCAAACTGAAACTCTCCTGTTTGCAGGCTGCAGGCTGATGCCTAGTCACTGTTCAATGTGACAGACGGATGGAAAACGGGTACTACTTTTATTCCACTTTTTGGAACAAGGGGACTTCTTGTCTGCTGATCTCAGATTGTTCTTCCTACCAGTTCTGAAGTGTTTTCTTGTGTATGTCCTCTAACCCCAATGGACATTACAGCTTGTCAGATAGCAGGGAAACGGGCATTTATTTATCCCATCAGAACACACAATGCAATGCAGAAAATTGTATGCAGCATTTGCATTACTCTCTACACATTATGCAGTGTGCACATACTCATATGCCCTCTTTCCTCCCTATGAATCCATTAAGATATGTATCTTTATGCGTAGATGCAACCTGATGGGGAAGATTTTCAATGCACAGCTGTCACTCAAGGACTCTAAACTGAAGAAGAAAATAAAGGTAATTTTTTGTTCTTTGAAATCTACTTCCACAGGAGGATTGCACCACACTGGTATGGTGTGCAAGCAGTGAGTACCTGTGGTGACCTTCTCAACCAGAACAAATCATCCCCTACTAAATACTGAGATATTCTAGACAAACTGTGATGGCCCAGAGCCAATGGGTTCAGCTGTATGCACCAAGTACTGCACTTGTTCAAGAAAACAGTCCCTTGCTGCTCTCCCTTTTATGGCTAGCCAAGTGGATGAGCTTCATGCCACAATGTGAGGCCTAAGCAAAATTAACCCCAAGATGCAGAAGATGAATTTTATTAAATTTCAATAAACTAACTCAACTTCACAAAACTCTCACAAGAACAGGCCACCTTTGATTATAAAGGATCTCCCTTTCTCTTCCTGACACTTCATCAGTCAATATTACACATATGATTTCGCTTGTCTGCATTGCTTGGTCACCCACCACCTCAGAACTCAAGTATCTGCAATACCTTATCTTCTCCTCCCACATCACATGGTGATCAAGAAAACCAGCAGGCAACAATTTCCAAGCAGTACACCTAAATCAAATCCTTGAGTTATGCTGAAACCATTTACAATGGAAATCAGTTTGGAATCTATTTCACTTTGATAAGAAACACCATGGAAAAGCCATGACCTGCCTTCCACAGACCCTCCCACAGACCTGTGCACTCTAAGCCTCTACTACAGATCAGGCTATGTTCTTCACTAAATCAGCTGCCCATGTAAGGCCCATAGCAAAGCAAACAGAGCTATTAGCCCAAGGATTTCATGGACATATGCATGCACAAAGTGAAAATAAAGGAGAATTACCTTTGCATGGATGCCACTGTGTAAATATTTTGTAATAAATAATAACAGCCACTATCAATCAAGAGAGTGAAGAACAGATGGGAAGGAGGTTGTGTTGAGAGAAAGGACTCAAACAGGTATATGTGTTCTCTCTCCCACCTTTCTTGGTCTGGGGACAGCCTAACTAAACCTTTGTGAATCCCCGGATACAGGCAATCCCCACCAGCGTGTTCCAGCACTCCAGGCAATTCTGGCTGCTTTACCAACACAGCACAAGATATCAAGACATCTACAAAACACTGTAATATCAGATTGTAGGTTGTGGATTCTCCCCACCTTTTCTATGGACCAATCCCTCTACCCAGCACTATGGTTACTTCATTTACCACCACCTTCAGGAAGGTTTGACAACAGATCTGATCCTGTAAAGAAAACAGTCCTTATAAATGATGCACCTCAAACTCCTCCTCTCCTTGAACAAAAACTCAGGGCTAGCTGAATCTCTACATTTTCTTACTTTTGTAAGAATATATTTTGTATTTAAGTTTTTAAAACAGGCAAATGTTTACTTGATGCTTGATATTTGGTCCAGCAGAACAATTGCTGAATCCCCAGGTTTCTCTACAGTACTAAAAGGTTAATGCTACAATTTGAATTTAGATTTTCTAATGGATGTTGCAGCAAATTCACTTCAGGCTGCAGATTTAATATAAGATGGCTGTCTGTGGCACATGTTTGTCACAGACATTGTCACCAAAATAATTTAAAACTTTAAATAATTTCCAAATACCTCAAAGTAAAAATTAGGTTCCAGATCCTCATTTGTAGTGGCTTCATTGTATACAACTCTGGTTACACAGAAGAGCCTTTAGAATGGATAAAAACTATGGCCCTCTACACTCTCAGATCTTGTTACTCTTTGCAATCAATTATCAATAACTTATTCTTAGTACAACACTGAATAACTAAACATACCTAAAGTCACAGGTAAAACATTGTAGGGTTATACTGTAGGGTTATGTTTGTGACCCAAACACATGTCTGGGCTCTGTCCCACCCCAGCTGCAGTGCAGGCTACATCTGAATGAGAAAGGCTTCACTCTTGCTCCTAAACCTCCCTAGGAAAGCAGAGAGCACTACAGCAAGCAAAGTGAGATCCAGGCCTTGAGACTTCCCATTCTGCAGAGATAAGCAGTGGTACCCTCCAGTCTCAGCTGTTGTGATACATACTCTTAAACACAGTAAACCACAATGGGTCCCAAAGGAGTGACATGAAGTGAGTACTTATCTTCCTGGCAGTGTTGGGGCAGACAATTGATGGTGTATCAGAATTTAACTGGCAATGCAGATTCAGAAAGGTGGAATCAGTGTGTATGAATAGTGAACAATAGAAGAGGCTAAACAATCACTCTGTTCAGCCTGAGATGTCACATGGGGGGCTTCTTCCCTCACTCACCCCCCCTCAAAAGACATCCCTCTTGCCCCCAGCATTAACACTGAGTTGGAAAGACAGTCAAGAAAAACACTTTGGTTTACATATTGACAAGTAATCTACAATACTGTAAGAAGCCAAAACAGTGTGCATCTCAAGAACTACCCAACCTTTTTGAAAACAAAAACAAGCCTGAAAAGAAACCACAAACCAAAATAAAAGCAACGTTTTTCAGGTAGGTACAGAAATGACAAAAACAGAACAACACGCACTACATACCTTAGCTATTTGGACACACCAGTTCAGCAGAAGTTGGGAGCCAATGTTATCCTTATGTTCATGAACATAATCCAACAGGCAACCATGAGGCATCAGCTGAGTGACCAGCTGAATGGTGGGGCTCAAGCAGACGCCCAGGAGTCTCACCAGGTGTGGGTGGTCCATGCTGGCCATGATAAGAGCTTCCTGTAACAACAGAAGTGACCCAGTTACACCAGTGTGCTTAAAGACTCTATGCACTGTAGATCTCCCATTGTGTCTCTAAAGTGTCCCCTAAGCACCTGTGCTGTCTATCCAGTCTTAGGCATACCTAGGGAACATCCAGTCTGACGTAGGGTATGCTTGATGTACTGATCCCCAAACAATAGAGTCAGACTCTCTGCACAGATCCAGTGATGGCTCATATCTAAAATTCTGCACTGCCCTGCATTCCCTGTCCTGTTACAGCCACAGAAACAAAGATGTAAGTGTGACACTTGACTTTGCTTAAAGGTCTCTTTGGTCTTGTTTTACTTTCCTTGATTTTGCTTCTTGAATATATTTTCCCAACTCACAGTCAATCCATTGGTCATCAGCTTCTTTTTAGGGAAGAAAACTACACTACTTGTGTACAGTGAGATGTCTAGTTTGGCCTTATTTGGCAAGGTACGTGATGAAACTGTGTTAAAATTTCTTTCTGGATCAGAGATTTTATGCTTAGCACTTTATAGACTTAGGCATGTAATTAATGTTTTCCCAAAGTTCAGCCTGCACAGGGTTAAGAATCAGGCAGCTTAGCCTGGGCTTTTCAAATGTACCTGATACTCCTAAGTCCTACTGAACATCAGCAGATTCATTAAGCCATTAGGAGATGACCACGCTGTCACCTCCATGACTGCTGCACAGCAATAGCCTAAACCAGCATTTGTGACAGTGCAGCAGCAGCCCAGGTGCAGTGGAAGTCCTCTCTGTCTCCTGATCCACAAATAAATCGCTACAGGAAGCAGCAGCTTTCTAAATCAGCTCTTGGTTCTTCCAAAGTCCTGTTGCAAAAGACCTTGGATGAGTCATTTTGGTTTTTTCCACACTTCAGCTTTTCACACACTAAACAGGAAATATTATTCCTTTCTTTCTTCTAGACTTTATCTTTTCCAGGTTCATAAGTTTCCAGAGGTTTTCAGCTAACAAGCTAAGTTGTCCAGTACCAAGGACCAGAAGGATTTCATCTTGCCTATGCTATTCAACCCAAACGTTCATACCACTGACAGGTTGCACAGAAGATCCTTATGAAAAACCTGCATAAGTGTTCTTAAAGGCATTGCTGCCATCACAAGCAACTGGCATTCAAATCTGGCAGGGAGAAAGCTCTTCTCTCTCATTCACTAAGCTGAGTTCTCCATTACAAGACCACTTCATCATGGCAATGGAACAATGAAAAGTGAGATGAAATTGTGGCTTTGTAAAGCTATTTTGGTTCTCTTTTTTCCCCCCTCAAAAACCCCCTATATGACATCTTTCTGACAACTTACAGAATAAGAGCTCTAATAGTGCCAAAGAAAGATAGAAAGAAAAAAAGGATGAGAAAAAGTTGTCATCAGAGGAACACGCATACTCCCAACTCAGAAAAGTTGTATTTTTTTCCCCTCTTCCCTATATTAAGGAAAAAAAAAGTTCTGGCAAGTAGGCTGAGTTTGTATTAAAGGAAATTGCTCATCATTGTACAAAGAATATTTGAAACCAAATTGCAGAGTATTTGCATAATAGTTCTCTCTCTTTCTTTCCCTCTCTTTTTTTGGTAAAACAAAAAGATGAACAAGACACTAATTGTAGGGTTTTTTCCCTCCCAGTAAGAAAAGAGCAGATGGCCTCCACTGGGGGAGTGACTCCTTCCTTTTTCTTCCTAAATCTATGTGAAGAAATAAATAAATGAGTAAATAGGGGCTATTTGATGTGATGACGGAGGAGCAGTTCTGAGGAAGATTCCAATGCAACAAATTAGAAAAGGGATCTGAATTTAACTGGTTTTGCTCATTCTCTAATATATTCCCACTCACTCAACTCAAAACTATGGGGTCTCCTTGAATCCATTTTAACCTTTCTTCTGCTGTGGCTAGAAAATGTCCCTGAAGGGCGGCAGATTAAATACCTGTTGACAAGTGCATTATTCAGTTTCAAAGCACAAAATTCCTCTGCTTAACATTTCTTTTTTACCCCATTCATTTTTCTCCTGCAGATGCATAAGGGGATAATACTTGTTGCCTACCTTCTCTCTGAGTAAAACTAAGAGTTTTACCAGGAATATGGAGTTGGAGTACTTTTCCTTATAATGAGGACTGATTAGAACCGAGACAAGATAGTACTTTTGCCTACCAAGGGACCAGACAGAAAGCTATGAAGGCTGTGCTCAATTAGTCTCCAGCTACTCACCATTTTCAAGTCTGAGTTCAAAGGAAAGACACTTCTGTACACTAATAAAAGCAAGCAGTGCCATTTGTCTCACTCGGATGTTACAGGAAAGCACAGACTTTCCCAACAGTTTTGGGCAACAGTTCCAGAAAAAAAGTTATTAATATAATATTACGGATCACTCAATAATGAATTGAGATACACAAGTGAGAGCAAGGAAACCTTCATTATAGATCTAAGCCATTAATGGGTACTAATTTAGCATGAATCCTGGCTTCACACAGTTATCCTCATTAGTGCAACTATTGTTATTTTTATTGAACTCACATCTACAGGAGAACTAAATTCAGGACTATGTCTATCCGGCACAGCACAAACACCAAGCAAAAGAGACTGCAATTGTTCTGTTAGAGCCTAATTAGACAAAACAGACAAACAACAACAACAGAAGCATTATGATTTCACAGCATTTTAAAAATCTGTTCAGTGAATAAGGAGCTTGAGTCCCCATTTCAAAATCTGTTTGGACACAAAAGACCCTAGAGCTACATCCTCCAGGGCACTCAGGCACTCTGCAGCCTGGTTCCCAATTACATTTTAAAAATGTCTCATCAGGTAAGGCACCTAAATTCACAATTTTGGCTGACTGACACTGGCATCTTTTGAGTCTAGTCCCTTCAATTTCCCAAATCTTTTGGTAGCCATATGTCTGCAGATACTGATTCTACACTCAATTGGCACAATTACACAAATGAGTTTGAAATTGTGCCTATTCTAATTAAATGGAGAGGAAACTGAGGTACAGAAAAGCACATCCTACTACCCACAGTCACATAGGAAGTCTGGAGTAGAAGTGGGAACAGTCTCCCAGATCACTTTACCTTTCTCTCCAGAAAAAATTCCTTTGACAGTTGAAATATAAAAGGGATGGAGGAGAGAGAAATGATTAAGATGTGATACTTCATCTTTCCCCCAGGAGTCAGAGTCTTTGTAAACCATGTGCTCACAGTGGCATCTGAGAAATGACAGGAATGGTGACAGCTTCGAAAAGCTCCTGTTGGACATCAGGCACCCTCCTTCATCTGTCTGCAGAGCAGAAGTCTATCACAAGAGTAACTCTGCAGCCAGAGCAGATCTCCTTCTGGAGTTTCTTTACACTGTTGCTGCTCAGGTATTACTTACTGCAGCAGTGTGTGGCAGCCATACACAGCACAGCTGTAAGCCAAGCAGCTTAGACACTGCTCCAGCAGTTCTGGAGCTCAGCCTGCCCTCACCTCTAAGATGTAGCCTGTGCTGAGCCCTGACCAGCTGAGGCTAGGGCACTACAAGGTCTCAAATGAATTACTTCAAAGCAAGGCTGTGCATGTATATTCTATTCACACAGTGTTATATATCTGAGGGGAAAGCTAGTAAAGAAAGACCTTGATGCAGAAGGCAGCTCATCCTGCAGGTAGCTTGGCAGGACCACTGTCGTGTCCTCCCATCCTCACCACAGAGAAAACAGCGGTGACTTCAGCTGAGCCTTCTGTGTTCAACTCAGTATTATACTTCTCAGATACGCTATTTAATATAAAGAAATCATGTCACATTGATCTCTTTCTGCTCCTTTTGAATGTGGTTGTATTATTCCTCCATTTAGCTCAACTCATGTGATTTATATGCACAAGCCTAAATTAAACAATTACATGAACAGTGACATAAATGCTATTTTAATGGTTCACACTGATCTGCCTGCCATGTGCATTAGGAACAAGACAGCATCCCAAAAAAGGGTGAGTTTCTAGTGATCAGGCTGGTTTCTGTCCGCAGAACTATGTCAACAGAGCTCTGAGGAGGTGCAATTGCAATTTGAAAATCCCACTTAAAACTGTTTCCTGATCTATCCACAGTCACTTGTGTTTGAAATGTCTTTAGTTAGACTGCTGTTTCTGAAAAGTAACTCATAATCTAAATAAAGCAGGATTTTCACTTCAACATTCCAGGAAGGGAAAGAAAAAATAATTCTCAAAAGTGTTAGAAGAAAGAGTTCTCTAAGTAACATCCACAGCACTTCTTATAAGACAGTATTTAACTTCCCCCTTTCCTACTTTGATGTGTTACTGATAACAATTACAACTGAACACACATATTAGCCAGCATGATGGTTCCTGAAGAGCATTACTTGGATACTGATTTCGGTTTTATTTCTCCAACCATTTAGTTTGTAAACCAGTGCACTCAGAAAGGGACATGTGCCACTAGCAGTAAAAAATGCCATGCTTATGTGCATGTTGAAAATTCATCCTCCTCCCAGAGTAGCCCATGGCACAACTGTCTCTTCAGCACATGTCCTCATTAATTAATACCCTAGTTGAGGACATGGTCAAGCATCCCTAGCCAGACTATTCCTGAGATGCTGGAGATGGCATACAGACAGCTTCTGAGATCCCTGGGGTCCTGGAACTGGGCAGAGCTGACAGTGAGTGATTACCCTGTCAAGTCCAAAATGATTCTCTAAGGGAAATCTGGACATCAGAATCAGTCAAAGACCTTCCCTCAGCTGCTTACAGAGGCTTTGAAACATGCTAACAGCTTGTGTCATACAGAGTCCTGTACCACGTGCTGGATCCCAGCACCTTCTAATGCAGCACTTGGTAACCACACCTGCTTACTGCTGAAGAATTCAGCTAACAATAGAATTTGTATTTGAAGCAATATTGATTATCAGATTTAAATATCTGGCAGAAAGGAAAAGAAACTCCTTCTGAAGGCTTATTCTTTAACACATCAGCTTCCTAAGCACCAACGACCATACCACAGAG